GGCCCTCCTCCTACTTCCTAAGCTCCGCGTTAATTGTCACTGTTGCATCTGAAAATAGTACTTGCTCGTAATCGGTATAATTCAGACTGAAATGAGCACTTCACAGCCCCATTTATGGTTAGCTCTAACTCCGCACACTCCATACTAATATACCCTACAATAACTAATCAAGAAATACAGTTTAATATTCAAATACTTGCCCACATGGTTTTCGATAGGTAATAATAGGCATATAGGTAATAAAACGTATCACAGTCTTTAAGTGCGCAGTTTCTTTCATAATAAATTTATGGAAATTAACAATTGCCGCAGTAAAATCTCTCGAAGAACTTCGAAAAAAGTAACACCTAGCATTTTTTCAACCAGTTTCGCACAAAAAGTTGTGGGTTAAATACCAGGACCGTATAGCTACAAATTTGTATTATTAGAATAATGCCCACAAATGTGTCGGCAGTGTGATATATCAAGACCCTACAAGATAACATTAAGTTTACCGTTCCCTAAGTGCCACTGAGGCCATGCGGACAAAATCAACTGGAACTTGGGAAGTAATACTTAACTTTCACTGCTACACATACTCATTAAATGAGAAGCCAGAGGAACTGCTCAAGGTCGACCATCGACACGGCTGGGTCATTTTAAGAATAGATAAAGCTGAATAAGGACTTATAGGGTTACGCCAAACTAGGTATGACAACCGATGCTACAATACGAAATTCAATTTTAACAAGTACAAAGTAATTATACTAGAAAAAATCGAGTACATAAATACCTCTTAAGGCCAATATTTTCTCGTACACTGAGGGCGTAAATAGAGGGTAGTGCACTGGAGACGGGGTCGTAAAAATTATAGCAATCGCCATCTTTACTTTTGAGGTTTGGGTATTATTTTTTTACCGACACAAGCATGTAATGGTAACAAAAAGAAAAGATGACACACATCTCCAACACTTCTACCCGCCCAAATAGTGTCGTTAAGCAGACCAAAATGTTCGAATACGAATAAATCCAACAAAACATTGGTGATATACAATGGACAAAAAATTTCTCATATAGTCAAAGAACCAAGCAGTCCGAAAATCACTACCACATAAAAAGAACATATTTAAAATATTCAGTACATCCAAATTCTCAAAAACACATTGATTTCGAAGGATATTGTACAACCTGCCAACATCTTGGCCACTACACAAAGAAGTTTTGGGAATTGAAAAAAAGACAAATTAACCGTAGGAGGATCCGCAAGATTATATATTTTGGATAACAAGAACAAACACAGAAACCTCCGTTTATGAATGCGTCTACAAAAAACAATAGGAGAGGTGGACGAACTCCACAGGTTGCAGAAACGAGTAAACCTATAGATTAAAGAACCATCACCAAAATTGGTTTACTACAGCTAGAGAGGGTAAAAACTCAAGGGAGTGAAGGGACTATATACCAGTCACTGGTATCTGGGGAAACACCTACACAACATGCATATATACACAATGATAACCTCATTTTTAGGTTGAATGAGGGGTAAGATAATGTCACCTCCAATATGTTCAAATGCGAAAGAACCGCTGGATGTACATAACTTAGGACATCAAAAAGAGTCAGCGAAAAAATTGCAGTAATGACAAACAATGTCTCAAAACTCAAATCCTTACGAGAAGGATCGAGTCGATTGAACTGAACTAAGGAAGTAGCAAAAGTACAGTATGCCAGAAGCTGCAGAACATGTGGAATCATGCAAAAACCCGCTTTCTAGTTCATTAAAAAAAGTATTGGAAGATGGTTTGACCTCAATTCAGCAACACATAACAGATAGTAGGATGTTAAGCCTTCCTTCGTGGTAGAATTTCTTAAATTTATTTTGTAATTTAAAAGCAGTCCTATATTGTAAGAAGATTGACAACCACTTGGAATATTGCCGTCAGAAGCAACTAAACGTTTAAGTAAATTATTTTGATAATATTGTGGGTTGTCTACTGTTCTTTGATGCAGAAAAGGCTTGCCCACCTGCAGCTAAAATTCGCTTATTTTAGCTTTTTATAAATGTTTAACCAAATTTCGACTGACCAATCTATTTGAACCAAATCGAGCTTTAAAAATTGGGATCGTTCATGCCCACAATCGTCAGAGATTCGAGATTGGCGCGGGTTTTAGCTTCGTCTGAAAAAATAATCATTCACTTCGTCCATCAGAGCGGAAGCGATATTCTTAGGTCGTCCCCCGCAAATCAATCTCATCCCTCAGTGCCACGGAGAGCTGAACATTGCGTCCCGCATACGTGATCTCTGCCAACTAAGAATCCGACTGCGTCAACGTTAATGCAATTACTTGAATACTCCATTGTCCCACAGAATAAAGGATTAAATCAGATTAGAAACGAATTAGATCGGGTGAGAGCCCACATTCCAAAGCGGACCCTCTTCACTTCCTCGCTCGTCACCGTCGGCAACCTATCGGAATTCTACTTCGCGTACCAGCCTTGAATTAATTTGTGCGCGTTTTAAAACGTTTTAGATGCAGCTTGAACGTTTCCTTTGTGTTGAGCAGATGGTACGCTAGTTGTTATAATATTAAACCGTCAAACTAGCTTAAAAATCTAAATGGCACACACGATCTCAAGTAATTATAAAAAATATACAAATAATTTATTCTCTTTAATTAGTTTTTTTAATTGACATTTGTAAAACTCAAAATACATGACGAGGAAAAGTATGGTGATTCTTGGACCTATTAAAACAAAATAGTTCCTACTCACTTAGTTGTTTTCAACTACCGGATTTCAAACATAAATCATCATCAGATTGAAGGAGTTTTACAACCACGTCTCTAGACATGAATTGTAAGACCGAGAGACGTAGTTGTAGAACTCCTTCAACCTGATGATGAGCTATAAGCTTGAAATCCGGATCGCTGAAAACAACTATGAGCGAGAACTATCTTTTTGAAAAGATTGAACTACACACTCACTCCACCATTTATCATTTCTAATAATAACTGCCTTTTAACAAGCTATCTTTCCAAACGCAGTGAAATCTCTGATAAGGGAGTCATCTGTTTAGGGGACACCTCCGTTTACAGGACTGTTACCCTGCACCGGCTTGGAAGATTCATGTCCAATGTATTTAACACCTCTACATAGGAGACGGTTTAAATAATAGTCAAGTTCTGTCGCCCTACAGTCTGTAACATTACAGAAAACCTTTTAATAGGGGACAGGCCAGATTAGTTTTTCACTTTTTTGAGAAGTGTAAATAATCTAAGTTTTTGGAATTGAATATGAATGTGTCCATGATTTTTTAACGTTTTCCGCCAATTTTTGATTGTGATATTACGTAAAGTTTAAAGTTTTACTTTCATAAATTTAGTTTAAGTTCGAATTTTTTTATGTTAACATGGTCTGATTGAATCATATGAAAACTTTGGGAGACAGTGTAATAAGCTGTTAATTCAAGCTTAGGAAACGGAGGAAATGTTTATAAGATCGTAAAGTCATGGAAAATGTACATCTAAATCAACACCTTACATGCAGTATTTGTACATATGTACAACACCTTACATACATACTGACGGCTATGATACATTAGATGACAAAATTTCTATTTATATTTGAAGAATATAAGAACACTTCTCTAAAGAGGACAAAAGTTGCTGACTATCAGTTAGCAAAAGATAATTTAACTGTATGTGTTAAATTGGCTTTTAAAGAAGACGGGAAATTAAACAAATTTGTTACTTGTTAAAATGATATTGACAAAACCGGCCGAATTTTTCATTAAAAAAACTATTAATTATAGCTGGTCTGTCAAATGCACTTCCACTTCCGCAAGCGGTTAGGTTTCTATGTTAAATGAAGTACACACAGATATTCCAACGGTATTCAGTTTCAGCACAAAAACCGAAATCTGCCAAAGCCTGGTTAAGAACAAACTTTCAGGAATTTACCATCTGGAAAGAGTGGTCTTCTGCTAGCCCAGATCCCTTGCGCTCCGAATTGTGGCCAGTGTTGGATCATAACCCATAGAAAAACCACACAAAAATGAATATTTTGAAAGGATCTCTACAAAAAACACCCAAAAACGAATGTTTCCAAAAGAATCTGATGAAAGCATTTGAAAATTTCCAATTTTGCTGCATTGAACGAGTGGCCCCTGCCGTCTTCATTCCTATATTCCAGCTAAACTTCCAGTTTGGAAAAATAACTTTTTCCAGTATTATCTATAACCACTGACATTTTTAACTGTAGGAACTAATATTTTTATGTAAAGGCGTCCGTTAAACTGTTGTGACAGAACTTATGGCTAGACCAGATAACCTGCTCGGTCAGTGTTACTCCTCTTGGAGAACGGCCCTCCCGAGACTTGATCATTTACACTGTGACTAGTAAATCCCCGCCCCACACACATCATATTGCAATGGGGCCCACAAAAGTCCAGCACCCTTAAAAGCAGTGAAGCTAGACTAAACATATCAGGTGGCAGGAGCGATGGCCGGCCAAGCCACTCCTAACTGAACCCTAAAAGTAGAAACACTTACTACTTCGATCCTCCACCAGTTGTTAAGCACAGGATTGCTCGAAGCGCCGAGGCAACTTACGCGTACGGTGTGTATATAGGGATTGGAAAGATATTTAGGGACAGTTGCAAAAACCAACCCGACGGGAAGAGGGTATAAGGTACTCTATCGCTTAAATTGTGCAGCATGGGCACGATGACCTGTATTGAGGTTTGTTTCACCCCAGATCACATCTGCCAACCGAGATCCGCTGGAAATAACCTTTCTCGAAAGAGATATGACGAAATGCGTTTGACAGACCACAAGGAAGGCAGACAAAGATGACCGATAAATACAAGTTATAGGTTCATCACCCCGAAAACAGCACTAAAAAATTTCGCAGTTAAAATCATTAACTTTAACATTTTCTAAAAGTTATTTCCAACACTTGATAGACAATTAAAATGTACAAATAGCTTAATTTAGTTATAAATGAAAGAGTGATCCTTGAATGTCATATATTCCTAATTTTTTGCATATACATTTAATTGATCATAAACAAAATCTAATGTTTTGTTTAAATTAAATATTATTATCTTACTAGATTAGTGCGTTCTCCCTTTGAGTTTAAAAAACAGTTCAGTACATTGCATTCAAACTCTTCCGAAATTGGTCCAATTTTGAAACGAACAGAATTCCAAATACGTGACAACTTGAATTTAGATCTAAACTTAATGATGGAGTCAAGTTGAGTACATATATTCTTCTCTCCTAATGCTAAATTGATTTATTGAATGAAATAATATTCCTATGTAACGAGCAAGCTCGGGCTAAACCTTTGACACCGATGATTTGAGCAGAAGTTCGAGGTGTTTTATTATGTTCAAAATTGTTACATTAAAATTCGTAATGAGACAACATAAGTTGTCTAAAAGAGGCAAAGTTTAATAACGGCTTAGGCCTAAGTGTTAATTAGCATGAAATGCCGCTGATATAAAAGTGTTCCCAGAGATTTTTTGAGAGTATTGCCAAGAAAAGGGGAAGATTGTTAAATAAAATGAACCTGGTATGTCTCTTGCTGTTCCATGTCGATGACCTGTACCTGAAACAAATAAAAGAGCAAAATTAATTAAATTGTTATCTCTGCAAATAAAGGGGGCGTCAAACCCTCACACAAGACTTGGTTAATCTAAAGAAATCAGAGGAGAAAGAGTTTTTCCCCTTTTTTGATATTAAAGCAGCAAGTGACCGGTTAAATTAATATAACTGTTATTATAACGTAATACAAGAACTAACAAAACTTGCTTTTCATTCATTAACGAAAATGACATTTTTCTTTGTACATTGGACTTTATAAAAAAACTATTTTTACAGCACGACGCCATACACCACATACTCTGGGGTGAGTGTGTGACGTCTGGAGAGTAATAGTTGTTATTAGCGAGAATGAAGTGGGTTCGACCTCCGCCCCGAGGAATTTCGAGTATACTGATGGAGTCAATGTGACCATATGTCTATGTTTGTATCATTTGCTGTGTTTATGTTAATTTATTATCAATGTAATTTATCGCGAAAGGAAGGGGTTGTTTAACCCTGGCCCATGGAATATCTAGTACTCTGGGGCAGGTGGCGAGAAACGAAGTGCCAAGGAATCAAAACGGTACCTACTACCCACTCTTGTGAAAGGGGCAAACCCGAGGGTAGGCCCTTAAAGAGAAATTATAAAAACCTCTAGTGTGGTCATGTGGGTGCCGGATCCTGACCTTCTGGACACTACGGACACTTCCACTATCCTCGGGCTTATTAAATCCTAAAACCCATTTAATCATACAAGGCAATGGAGGGTGGTCAGCCAGAAAGTAGAAAACAAAGGTCTAACTCTTGTGACATACATAAATGATGCATGTAGGAAGCGGATCGGATGTTTTTTGTACAAGAAAATGTGAGAAATCAAACTCATTAGGAAAGTGCACTTTGGTCTTTGAAGCGGAAATATATGCTGTCATTGCTTGTGCCCTACAAAATCTTAAAAGAAGTTACACAATCCTCATTAGATCGGATAGCTAAGAAAATATTAAAGCATTAGCGTGTTAAAAAATCATATCAAAACAATGACAGTGAATGCATGTGTTAAAAATTTAAAAATGTAGGAAGTGGATAAAAGTATGCTAAAATAACACTCACAAATACTGGCAAACTCACTGCTACCATTGGAGAAGGCCAGACTCAGAGGAGTGATAAGACTATTTAGCAGTCACTGGCGTCTGAGAAAACATCTACATAACTTGGGCATATTCAACGATGATCCCATTTGCAGATTGGCCGAAGAAACAGCCACCCATATCATCTTCGAAAGGGAAACAACCGCTCAATGGAGACGTAACCTGGGATGTAAAGAAAACTACAGTTACTACAAATTGTAGCAGCAACAGTCAATGACTTAAAACTTATGGGAAGAATAACTGAGTCGACCGCACAGAACTACGAAGCCAGGAGAAATTCTCCAGAATAAGCCAGGAGAGAGGCATTTTAGCATATCAACTTAGCTTTTATTCAGAAGTAGACAGTCAGTAACAAATTGAGAGGATGAAATGGCTCCTCGTTGAAAAATACGCGGGAAATAGCAGGAAAAAATACTAACACGCAGATGGCCGGGTTGACCTCAGCTATTTTTGTTGTTCCAACATTATTTATATTTTACAACACTACATTTCAAAATAATTGATTAAGTTTATTAAATAATATTGAATTAAATAAAAATAAAATAACAAAATAAACTTCCGAGAAAACTATTCGCAAAGATCGGATACAATAGACAAAAGTTTAAGAAAAAAGGGATAAATCTACGACTTGATGTAGAAAAAAAATCCAAAAGGCATGAGCCTATTTAAATATATTATAATTAATAAGTATATTCACTGTTAAAAGTATTGACCACTTTTTCACTCACGAACACTCTTTATAGTTGTTCACTCTGTATTGTCTTGAAGAAAACAGCAAATTTAGTTGTTAAGCTTTCGACCTATTTTAACATCATCATAAAGGCAAAACTATTTTCATTATAACTACAGATTCACATATTTAAAATTTTTACAGGCGATCCCAAATTTCGTTGAAGGCCAAAGACCGTGGATCTGTAGAAATATTTACGATTATTTTGCTCTTAAGATAAAATATTAAAGATTATTACATGCTTAAAATAGGTCGAAGCATTGGAATAACAACTGACTTTACTTATTTCTTCAAGACCATACCTTGATAATTATATTATACATAAAATCGTCGCATTTTGGAAAAAAAATCTTTCTGAGGACCCGATTTAAAATGAACCACTTTTACATTCTCCAATTCAGCTGGACTTGACGAATTGGGCCGTAATGATATTAGAAACGTGACAGCTTAAGCTCTATGAATTTCCGATAATCCAGTAGTTCGACTGATTCGTATCATCAGAGTTTCTGCCTAACTAATCTAAGATCGCCTGTGGCCCGTTCGGTACCAATTTGTCCTTGCTTCGTACTTCCACCCGACCGTGTAATAGATTTGTGATCGCTATATCTCGATCCTTATACAACCTCGCGGCACCACGACAAATTCAAATACATTTCCCAAATGCAAATCAAAATCACTGCCTCACACAGAGACAAAAGATACCTATATCATTTCTCACTGACGTATACAAGTTAATGATAGAAAAACAAAAATAATATGTTAGGGGGATTTAACGAGAACAACCAACAAAAGAAGAACATAATGATATAATATAAAAATATTAAAAAAGTAATTCTTGTAGAGCCATTCTCCAGTGGATATAATCATTATATCTTGGCCTTACAACGTAAAATTGGCCTTTTAAATCCTGTTTGCCTCTTATATATAAGAAAGTACGTGGAATTGAATGAGCTCATGAAAAACGAATAAACAGACAAAAATTACACCCACTTGTTTATTTGAAAAAAGTTAACATTAAAATCCATGGTTCATAGGACATTACAGTTATGACTGCAGTAATTATTTAAAATATTTATAGGATTTCCTCTGTTTTTTTTTAATTTTTTAACGAGGGTTTCCAACAGCAGAGGTTATATCAACTCTCGGGGTGCCAGTGTTTTTGAAAACAAAGCCTATTTGTAAGTATGTCGGGTTCGAACCCGGGACCTTTACCTTACAGTGATGAGCACCGTGTCCACGCCTAAACCGTTGTGGCCACCGACGCCTCCCCTGCGTTATTATCTTTCATATCTAAGTGTTTTACATATTTTATCAGCATTAGAAGCTATACTGTTAGTTACATTAGGAGCAGTTTCAGTATTTAAATTGTTATTATTTTTACTGACAAATCTTATTGATCTTTCATTAAGGATTCGTTGTATTTGATATTAGGGATCTATTTTTTAACAGTATTTTTTGTCATTATGTTTTATTTCTCCAATATATTCAGTAGAGGTAAGGTTGTTCATACTAGTTTTTTGTTATATTTATTATGATTTTAGTAAAATGTAGGGGCTTAAAATGTAGCATTCTATCATGTAATCATAAAATGGAACATGAATAATTTTTCTTTGAATTTACAATTGAGCAGTTTAAATGCTACGGATCTTGCAATATTTAGTTGAACCCACACTTCCAGTAAGTCACTCAGTAAGTATATTTACGTAACTAAGGTGTCATAAACAACCCTTTATTTATTAAAGGTAAGTTTATCAAGAAGTCGTGTAAGCGCCGTGCATCGTGTCATAACGCTGTTAGGTTTAGTCGGGTGTGGGAATTTCACGTGTCGATATTTGTGTCCTAAGTACCGCACCTTGTCTTCAGGTTGGAATGGGATAATATTGAAGTATACTGGAAAAGAGGTGTTTTTGCTAAGAGTGGAGGTTATGTGGATTGATTTTCTTCGCTACGTTTTATTCTTTTCATTTCACACCAAGACTGCTGCAGTGCGAGCTGTTGATTAAGGTTTGTTGTTTCAGGATCAGAGTTGCTTGAGCTGTATCGCCTGCAAAAGTCAGAGTGGTTAAATGCATTGTGATATGTGAGGCAGTGATTTTGATTTGAATTGGTCATTGTATAAGGAGCGAGGTATAGCGATCTCAAAACTATTACACGGTTGGGTGGAAATACGAAGCAAGGACAAATTGATAACGAACGGGCCACAGAACTACACCCTGAGGAATAACAGCGTTGATAATGTAGTTCCGGGAAAACGCCTTCGTTCCTATGACTCCGAAGTGCCTGGCAGTGAATGAGCTAACTGCGAAGGCTTAAAGTAGAGACAAAGATCACCAGGCACATGAGTGCAAAATGCAGTCGAAACCATATGCCACATCAAGCAATGACCTTGAAAACCCCCAACTCAAGAGAAGCAAAAATGAAGTCCACATAGCGGTGGATGGCCTGAGATAACATTTTGAGAATTTAGGATTAAGAGGATACATTTTAAAATAAGCCGTCCTTAAACTTTCTCTTAAAATGGGAACAGAATGATAAGGGCTGTGTGGGTTTTGGAATCATACGGATGAAGGAGTGTTTCCTGGATATAGGATATAGCTTGAACGTAGGACGGAATTCAATACGAAGGTAATGAATATTATGAATTTTCTGTGAAAGTGTTTCAAAATTTGAGAGGTAATGAGATTGAAGCCAGCATTTATAATTACATTAAAAAGATTAAGTCAAGCTGCTTGAAACATCAACTTATAATTTGGTAAATATAAATTAGACTTCGACGATTAGTACGGCGTCTGACTATTGGCGTATTTGCCATGCTAGAATTTCTGGGTTTGAATCACGGCATAGCCCACGAGGCATAGCATAGTTCTTTTTGTCTATTTGTTTGTAGAAAACCAAGAAAAAAATCATTTTACACTTTCCACATCATAACAATCTTCAAAGAAGATAGCCGATGTAATTTTAATTTGTGAATAATTTCAAAACAATTATTGCAAAATGGCTTGACACAAAGGGGTGATGTCACTGTGGTGTTGGACTTTAAGCTCTCACTACAGGAATTACTTAATTTTTTATTAGTTGGTTTCAACATTTTAGTTATATTATTTTTGTTAAATTAACAGTTGCTTACAAGGTTTTTAATTTATTTCCACA